GATCAGACTAATATTTAAATTGCCCGCCAGGTGTGCATAACGCCACCTAGTTACGAAGGGCCAGCGACATAACACTTTTGTGTGAAATCAGTGTCACTACTAATAAAAAAGTGTGAATTTGTCAACCCAAAACATCTAAAAAATAAGTCTCCTCAATCTTACATTGATCCCTCGCGAAATTTATACGAATCAAGCGGATTAAAAGTGTAGTGCATCGCCAATCGTATTGGAAGTGGTGCAACGTGCCGCTTCCTCTACACCCCTTTTTATTTGAAGTGGCGAACGGCCACTTCATCTAAAACCGTATCGGAGGTGGTGCAACGGCCACCTCATATCGTCGTAATTTAATTACGAAAAATATCGTCTCGGAATCACATAACGTGTGATTCCATAACCCACCCTTCGCATCATCGGCACGCGTGCGTGTGTGTGTGTGTGTGTGTCTACCTATCTATAGCTGCGTCCGACAGTTCACATCGTTGTGTTCTTAGGACAGACATTGCAGTGTAGTAGCGTATGTGTATGTGTATGAAAAAACAAGTGTCATTCGCAGTTGTAATCGATCTATTACCTTATAATTAATAAATCTGGATTTTTTATGCCGTAACGGCTTTTTCCCATCTAATTCTGTGTTTGAATTATTTAATCCTTTTTTTTTGTGTTTTGTTTTAAATCGATTCTTCGCGATTTTTAATTCGACTATCATACCACCTAGGGTATGATAGCCTGTACGTCATTTCACTAGCTTTGCATTGTTATTCCTACCAAATAACTGTCAAATATTTTAATACTGCACTCTGCTTTCAGGCAATATTCGACTATTTTGAAGCTGTCAGGGGATTACTACTGACTATTTCTTCCCTCATAATCTCGACCAATAAAATCATTGCATTCGGGGACTTTTTAACCTGCAAAACTCATGCCACTCATTTATTTGCAATGAAGCTATCAGGAAATACCCGATCATTTTGAAGCTCTCGTGGTATTATAATTGATGATTTCTCGACTATTACGATTTAGTCGTATGGCAAACTTGAATAAAAATTTTCCGGTAAAGTAAATGAAGTTCTTTTTTTTTTTTTTTTACGGCCTCGGAGTCCCTTTTTCGGGTCCCATTCGGCACTCTATCCAACCCTATGCATGCGGCTGTGGATTCTACACTGTACCGCATTCGCACTTCTATAGAACATAGAAGTAGCATGGGGAAACCACAGAAAATCCATGCCGGTACAGGCGGTTCCTCTATTAGCAACCTCCCGCTCGCCGGAGCCTTCCGTTGAAAAATTCGGTTCCACGGGGAATCGAACTCACAACCTTTCGCACACTAGACTTGCGTCTAATCCACTCGGCCACCGACGTCGGTGTAAATGAAGTTCTGATATGAAATACAGCTTTAACCCTCAAAAACATCGATTATCGCATTTCTATCGGTCGAAATTCAAATCGGGAAAAACCCAACCTGCGAGGCGTGACTTAGCGAGAAAATTCTTAGATTTTTCTATCGAAAAATTTTGGACAATTTTGGAGCACTCGGAGCGTTACGGCTTAGAATTCACTGGAATTCCAAATTTTTGAGCAACAACGACAAAAATTCCCCAACTCACTTGAATTTTCAATCAAAACATGAATATTCGCTATCAAATTCCTTAAATCTTCCAGATTTCTATCAAATTCCATAGAATAATTACAATGAAGTATTCACTAAAACCGACGACGGTGGTCGAATGGACTAGACGCAAGTCTAGTGTACGGAAGATTACGAGTTCGATCCCAAGTGGAGTCAAATTTTTCAACCTCTGGCTCCGGCGAGCGAGAGGTTGCTAATATAGTAGGGGAGACCGTGGCAGAGCGGGGCGGTCGGGGCATAGTGGGGTACATAAAAAAGGCCAAAATTGAGAAATTTAAGGGGTTGACGAGGGGTCGATCAAAGATCAATAAAAAGTCGAAAAAAGCTTAAAAAAAACTCGAATAATACTAAGGAAAATTTTATAAAAATGCAAAAACTCTGGAAATTCTTTCAAACACCGGGATGAGCCGCCATATTGGGTATTTTGATTAAAACTGAGTTCTCACAATGATCTAGATTTCGATAGTCAGATAAATTTTCTAAACCCATCCCTCGACGGTCGGTAACAGCGGAAAAAATAGAAGACGAGAAGACTGGAATCTCACTTATTGCTGTGTATACTCTGCTTGCTGATATAAACGTCACTTTGCTACTGAATCAAGAGAATAAAAGCAATCAATTAGAAGTATTAGGATTTCACTTCGTAAAATTGAGATAAATAAGACAAATCTAATGAATAAATTCGTAAATTTCAATTTTTAGAACAAAAAAATTAAATTGAGGAAAAAAATGAGTTTTTAGGATAAAATGAATAAAAAATTTGAAAAACAAAATTAATTTGATGAATAACGAAAACAAAAAAAAATGTATAGAAAATCGTTACAACGTATTCTTCTGTTGATGAACATGAAATTCAAGAAAAAGAATTCTCTTATGCGTACCCTATGGTGCCCCAAATTAAAAAATCGATTCATCGGCACCGTCCCTACTAATTTCAGAGTTTTTCTGTCGTTTTTTGGAGATTCGAAGGTGGAAAACAAAGAAACAACATTTATAATTATTTTAATGTTTTTGTACACTACCCCACTATGCCCCCAATTGTAATACGTTGGAGACGCCAGTCAGTAATTTTAGAATGTGAATAGTGATTCCTAAAAAGCAATATAAGTATGATAGAAGCTCTCACACCCGCCTGTTTATGTTAGCTACCTCGCTTTGCCCCGGTCTGCCCTAACCGCCTGTACCGGCATGGGTTCCCTGTGGTTTCCTATGACACTTCTATATTCTATAGGCGTAGAATCCACAGCCGCGTGCATAGGGTTGGATGGAACGCCGAGTGGGACCCCAAAAAAGGACTCAAACGCCATAAAAAAAATATTCACTAAGGACGAGAATTTACATAACATTCCACATCTTGTGACGTGTCACAGGATATTGCTGGACAGTATTTTGAGTAGGTACGAGGGGAACCAGAGCCCTATTCTTCTTTCTGTACGTAGGGCGGTCGTCAACGAATCTGCTCTACAATTTCTATACGGAGTTCGTAAACAAATGTCGATTCGTACCCAAATGAGAATTCACCACCGTCGAGAATACGGCCCCAGATAAGGGTGATACTTGATATTAGTTTACAGGAAAAATGTACTGAAAAAGTGGATAGTCCAGACGGGGAATCGAATCCGAAACCCTTCGCTAATGTATCGATTGCTCTTTCAACCGGAGATTCGGCTCCTAGCCACTTCATTTCAAATTTTTTGTACATATCGAACTCCGTCCTTCATATGGCAATCATATTTCACTAAAGACGGGATTTTATATAGCGTTCCACACCTTCCATTTCATGCAATAATTCAAATGAAACTTGCAGTTCCTATTGATTTTTTTCCTCAAATGATAAATTTGCAATGACGAAAATCTTTGAAATTTTAGTGAAACGTTTACTTGATAAAAATTTTCAAGAAATCCACGAATTTCCAAGAAGATACAGAGATTGAGCGCTTCACTCAGTCAAGCATTAGTCGATCACTGATCGATGCGTGATGATTCATCGACTAACCATCGATCAATGAT